ATAGGATAGGATAGGATAGGATAGGATAGGATAGGATAGGATAGGAGGCCGAGTTTAGGAGAGGCCAAGTTTAGGAGAGAGAAGCTGGCGGCTCCAAGGAAGATAGGATCGGAAGGATACATAGGATAGGATAGGATGGATAGGATAGGACGGATAGATGGATGGATAGAGATAGATAGATAGATAGATAGATAGATAGATAGATAGATAGATAGATAGATAGATAGGATGGATAGACAGATAGACAGACATAGATAGATAAGATAGATAGGATGGATAGACAGATAGATAGGATAGGATAGGATAGGATAGGATAGGATAGGATAGATAGAAGATGGATGGATAGAGATAGGATAGGATAGAGAGAGAGAGAGATTGATAGGATCGATAGGATAGATAGATAAATAGATAGGATAGGATGGATAAGATAGATAGGATAGATGGATGGGTGGATAGATGGATGGATGGATAGATAGATAGATAGATAGATAGATAGATAGATAGATAGATAGATAGATAGATAGATAGATAGATAGATAGAGATGACGGAGGTCTACACACCCGTGTGCATGACAGGCCAACCATTTTGAAGGGGGAAATACCATAACAAGATAGAAATGACTAATCCAGTGAAGAACATAACATTAAATATTCTGAGATTCGGAGATTCTCGGTTTCATTCTCAGAAGCTAGCTCTGCCAAATCATTTCCTTCTTCTTCGCAAAAATAATAATTGGGGGGAAATCAATCCGAAGTCTCCTGTCGTTTCCAAATGACTCTCAAAAGAGCCTTTTCCCTTAAGGCTAAAGCCATACCGACAGTGTAGCCACTTGGCTCTCAGTTCAGTCAGTTTTCAAATCCAGTGATAAAGGTTGCTTTTTTAAAAAACCAAAAACAAAAACTCGAGACTCTTCGCCATTCATATACCCTGTGCCCCAAACCACTTGCTTTTCAGAGATGTACACGTGAAGTCTCTCATTTGTCAAAGCAGCAGACTTTTTGGGAAACCTTCCCAGTCCAAACCACCTGACGGTACGAAGTAACTTTTCCTGATGCATCTCCTGATGCAAATGCATCTGAGGAAGTAGACTGAAGTCTACAAGATCTCTCTACATACTAACTTTTCCTGAATTCACTCCAGCCTTTTCTAATTCTGTATCTAATATCTGTCAGTCATTCCAGAAGTGCTAAGCCAAAGGGAAAATTTCAAGCCTAAAATGAGCAGAGCATTTGAACACTTTCCCTACAAGGAAAGGCTAAAGCCTGGGAGGGGGGGGCTTTTACCTTTTGGAAAAGAGGGGAGTTCATAATAATAATAATAATAATAATAATAATAATAATAATAAAATTTATTTGTATCCCGCCCTTTGGGAAACCCAGTTCAGGGAAGAAACTGATAGGACATTTATCAGATCACACACAGAGAGTTTGCAGAGAGGATATAAGAAAGAGAAGCATTTCTTTTCCCTCCATTCTAGAACTCAGTACCCATCAAAGAAACTGACTAGGGATCCTGGCCAAAAAGTCCCTTTTTACCCAGCTGTGATAAATGGGTGGCATTTGCTGGCACTTGCGATGTGGCAGCTGCTTTGGGGCTTCGATATTTTTTGTAAAGATCCATGGGGAATAAAGCTATGGATAGACCCTCCATATTCAAAGGCAGGAATGCCACTGAATATCTATCAATGGAAGAGGGCATTGTTCATTGTTGTTATTCCCCGCCTCGATCCATAGGGAACGGCAGGTAAGAAATTATATTATTATTATTATTATTATTATTATTATTTCCAAAATCAGCTGGTTGGGCACAGGGTGAAGTTCTGAAGGGGTTTAAAAAGAACTGCACCTTGAGAAACAGAGAGCAAGCGAGAGAGAGAGAATATACACACATATATCATATTTCCAGCCTTCATTTCTGATTATTGCCCCAACTCGGGATCTTCGATCCATGATTTCTATTTCTCAGTTTTTAAAAAAAAAAAATCCAAATCCAAATAGCCAAAAGGCAAATCCAAAATAGCCATATGCAAATCCAAATAGCCAAATGCATCTGATGAAGTAGATTTGAGTCTAGGGAAGCTCTTGTTGCTGCCAACTCCTTTCTTTCGGTTAGGGCCTTTGCAGACTGCCAGAAATAGTGCAAATTGAGTCCGCTTTAACTGCCCTAGCTCAGTGCTAGGGAATCATGGGAATTGTTGTTGTTTTTTTTCCCCTGAGACATTGAGCCTTCTCTGTCAGAGAGCTCTGGTGCCACAATAAAATACAGTTCCCATGATTGCCTAACCCTAACCCTATCCCTTAAAGTGGACTCAATTTGCACTATTTCTGGCAGTCTGCAAAGGCCCTTAGACTCAAAGGTGAGACGATTGTACAAGATTTGTAGCACTTCGCAAACACTTGTTGGAAGACGCCTTTCCTCCCCTTTGGCCACAAATTGAAAACCTCTGGCCCCAGGTTAAAGTAGTTGGACCTCAAACAGACAGAAAGGAAAATATCGCCTTCCTAATTTTTATTTTTAAAATTATTTTATTTTCATTTTCACCATCAAACACTCAGGAAAAAAAATGTCTCGAGAAATCCTCCCTGGAAAGGACAGCCGCCCGCACTTGCTTTCTTAAGTTGCGACTTGCTTTTCCACCATTAAGAGAGGGATAAAGTAGTTTTAAAATTCATTTTTAAAAATGTAAAGAAATCGCTATACAGTGAATCGTTCATACTTATTAGATGTTGTAAATCCACTCTTCCACAACATCTAATAGGTACAAACTATTAACTGTATATATCGATTTCTTGACTTTTTTAAAATTAATTCAGAGCAATAGCCGCCTTCCTTTGAACTAACATATCATTCAGGAAGGAGCCAGTTTGGTGCAAGAGGTTTGAATATTAGACTCCGCTCAGCCATGGAAACCCACTGAATGGCTTTCGGCAGGTCACACTCTCTCAGCCTCAAAGGCAAACCTCCACTGATCAAAGCTTACCATGGAAACCCCATGATAGGTCCCCTTTACGGTCGGAAACGACTAGGAAGGCCAAAATAAGAGGGATATTAGGTCTAGAACAGTGATCCCCAAACTTGGGTCTTCCAGGTGTTTTGGACTTCAGCTCCCAGAATCC